AGCTACATTTACCGAAGTTCCTAAAGATGTGACGGTTAGGGAGGGAGATGATATTGAGATGCCTTGTGCTTTCCGGGCCAGTGGATCTGCCTCTTACTCCTTGGAAATCCAATGGTGGTACCTTAAGGAACCAGCACGAGAGCTCCCACACGAGTTAGCCGTCAGTGGTCCTGGCAGCAGAAGTAAGGTAATGGAAAATAAATACATAAATAAATAAATAAACCCACTTCCCCAACGATGCAATTACATTCTCCTACTATGAATTAACGTGATTTGCTACACCGTCTGTAGGGTTGAGACAAACGGAAAAGGCTTCAAGCAGCATTTTAGCAACCTAAGGAGAAAACTGCATTTTCGGGGTTCTTTCTGTCTCGGGCGCTAATTCAGACACACAGGTGAAGTACAGGACCAACCCAGGAGGACCCTTTTATGCAGTCCTTTTCCATGGGTGCTCAAAATAATTTTGGACCTGTGGTCTAGTTCATGAACATGGATTAGTCTCTGAAGGGTCCAGGGTGTGTGTATGAGATATCCAAATTTCAGAGCCCATCTCCAGGACATGATGTCACCACCCAGCCTCTTGTGTGCATCTGGATGCATGTTCAGACGTTGCCGCTTGTTCTGCATGTTATGGTTCCTGATCACCAGCGAACGACATCCGCTGCAATGTATCAGGAAACCAATGGTTTGCACCGTGGCTTTTCCCATTTGTCTAGCTGAGATTCGTGGGTTTCAGTTTTCAAAAGAGTTCCGAGAGGCGATGAGCCCTAGTCTAAGGCTTCAACCTTTGGATGCTTTGCATACCATCTACTGGAAAGTTTGCCACTCCGATAAAAATCACGCCAGGCAGGGGAGGATATTCACCATTTTTCCTGGCCTTCTGAATCCCCTCCAGGATAGCAGAGTTTGACCCAGCCAGGCCCACAGTTTAGACTTCTTTGGTGCTGACGTAAACAGGTCAGCTTCTAGAGATCAAATGGGAGAGCTGAGATGGATGCTGTGACTGATAAAACTAATATTATTTCAGTTATAGTTCTGGTTAGGGCAGAGGCAATCCAGTCCTCTCATATGCAGACACCACATACAGTGAAATGCAAGCAATATATCTCGGTGAATGAGAGCGAGGTTGCTTGAGTGGTTCAGGCACCAGGCTTAAAACCAGGAGGCTGTGAATTCTAGTCCCGCCTTAGGCATGGAAGCCTATCCCTTGGATAATTTGGGGCCCCGTCACATTTTCTCAACCCACCCCACCCCTCTCACAAGATTGTTGTAGACAAAATAGGAGAAGGGGGGGGGAATATTAGATGCTATTATATTCGCTGCCTTGAAGGTGGGATGTAAAAATAAAGAATAAAATAAAATAAAATAAAATTATAGAATTTGGGGGGGGGGTCCACTCAGGTCATTACTAAACTATACTGGGAAAGAATAGATGAGAAAAAAAATGATTTTCATGCATCACAGCTTAAACGCTGATTTCCGTCCATTCTCAGAGCTCTTCAGGATGAGAACAGGATCTCACTCAGGGTACAATTCTGGAAATTCTTGTTATTGCTTCCACTGGCACATTTTTTTAGGATTATCGTAGACCTTTACTAAGAGAAAATTTAGAGAAATGCTTTGGTGACATTTTGGTTGGTCCTAACGCCTTCTTTATAGATTTTCTTGTCTTTCATCTAACCTAGACATAGGTTAGATGAGTTGGGTAGGTAGGTAGGTAGATTGGATGGATGGATGGATGGATAATAAATGGATAGAAGGATGGATAACAGATGGATAGATAGACACATGGATAGATAGATGCATGGATGATGAATGGATAGATGGATGGATGATAAATGGATAGAAGGATGGATGGACAGTTGGATAGATGGATGGATGGATACATGGATGGACAGATGGATAGATAGATGGATAGATAGATGGATGGATAGATGGATGGATAGATAGACAGATGGATGATAGATGGATAGAAGAATGGATAGACAGATGGATAGTTAGATGGATAAATGGATGGATGGATGATGGATGGATAGATGGATGGATGGACGGATAGATAGATGGATGGATTGGTGGACAGACAGAACTATATAGGATACAAGTTCAAGAAAGAGTAAGAAAAATATGATTGCAGTGAATAAGGGTAGTATGGTAAGGTTGGACTGGAGAGCTCCATTTGGTTACAAACTACCCTTTGAATCATAAAAATATAGTAAAGTGGGCAGTCCTTTTATTGGGTTGATCTTCATTCCTTCATAGAATGGGAATTACTTCAGTAGAGTTACAAGGAAGAGAGATGCAATCATCCAAATAGGCCCACACATTTGTCTTATTTTAGTGGTGCAGATGTTAGACCAGGATTGGGAAGGTCAAGTCTACTCTCATCCATGAAAATTCCTGGGTGGGTGTGTGTGACTTGGGCCGAGTTAATCTCTCTCAGCCCAACCCAACCTTCATGGTTGCAGGAAAAAGGAGAAACAGATCCAGCATGCACCACTTTTTGCTCCTGGAGGAAGGACAGAATATAAACCTAACAAAAGTAATCAATAACAATTATTTAATAAATGTCCTGATGTTTTTCAAGAGGACGTTGTTTTCCCCAAAACAGTATACTTTGGCCCGTGAAATCAGCTGAAGTCATCAAACAATTAAATAACAGCACAAAGTTGGCCATCGGATGTCATTCAAGCTCAGCCAATCAACCTGCAAAACCAAGAACGAATTCATGCAGGTCGTATTCTTTCCATGCAAAGGGTCCAGAACAAAGCCATATTTAGGGCCTATCTGTCAATCAACGAATCAAACAAACAAACAGAAAAGGAGCTGATTTTATTTCCCGAAGAGGAAATGTCATTGTTAAAGGCCTATCCCTTAAAAGATTCCACCTCATAATCTTCCAACCAGAGTATCTACCAGAGTGGTAAAAAAAAAAAAAAAAAAGTCAAAATGGGGACACACATAAAAAAAGGAAACACCCTCATAATCTATAAGGGGGGTGGACTAGAAGACCTCTAAGGACCCTTCCAAACTTATGATTCTATGATTATTTTAAAATTGTAACACACACACACACCCATGAATGCCTTGACAGCCAAATCTTCCCTCCTCCTTCAGGCCAAGCTAGTAATTTTTCTCAAACCACTGTATGCGCCATATACACCGTAAATAAAAGCTAATGCATAGGGTCTGAAAGGCAGTCATTATCTTAAAAGTCCTATACTTCTTTTTCAGAGGTTCCATTTCTAACAGGGGTGTATACAAGCATTTTTAAAAAGTGCTTGTGCGAATATGTATACAGACAGGTTTTGTTATGATCAACTGAATAGTGCAAGCCTTTTAACTACTACTGTCAAAATGAGTCAAAGGGTTTTCTGTTGTTTGCAGTGACTAAGTTGACTAATGATAATTAAATGGTGAGATTTAAGTAGAAGACAGGGAAGGTATGAGGTTTTTTTTTTAAAGATGATGTTTGAGTGGAATCTCATACTGTATGTATTTAACTATTATCAGTGGCCTGTCTGTCTGTCATCTATTATCTATTTACCTACCTATCCATCCATCCATCCATCCATCCATTCCTGTCTCAACATTTGTTATTTAACTTCTCATTAACTCAGAGGTTGGTTTTAAAACTGAACCCTATTTGTGTGGGAAACAGGTTGTGTCTTCTCTGCAAAGCCAATAAGCCAATCCTATTGAGATCTTAAAATTGTACTGCTGCTAAGCATGCATTAAATTCTCCCTTCCTTCCTTCTTTCCTTCCCTCCCTCCCCCCCTCCTTCCTTCCATCTGTCCTTCCACCCTCCCTCCCTCCCTTCTCCTTTCTTCCTTCCTTCCTTATTTCCTTCCCTCCCTCTCTTCCTCCCTCCCTCCCACCCTCCTTCCTTCCTTCTGTCCTTCCTTCCTCCCTCCCTCCCTCCTTCCTTCCTTCCTTCATTATTTCTTTCCCTCCCTCCCTTCTTTCCTTTCTTCCCTCTCTGCTCCTTCTCCTTCCTTCTTTCTTTCCCTCCTCCCTCCCTTCATTCCTTCCTTCTTCCCTCCTTTCTCCTCTGCCCTTCCTTCCTTCCTTCCAAAATAAATAAGATCTAAAGGACTGGTTGTCATTTGTCAAAATAGAGTTGAATATGCGGATGATTTGTTCTAAATATTGAAGGGTTGTGGGGTTCCCCCCCCCACACACACACCATTCTAAACTCATTTGGGACTGGGCATGTCCACCCACCCCAGACGTTGCAGCCGATCTCTGCAGAGGGATGATTTATGTCTCCTCTTGACATGTGATAATTAAATGTAGTCCAGGGGAAGCAGGTGAAGACTTCAGAGGCTTTTTCCAAGCAGCTCTTGGAAGCTAGCTTCAGGCCTTTAACGCATGAGTACCAGTCACAGCAAGGGCTGATCACCCATCAGCTGAATGAGAGCCGCCTAAAGATCCACTTGCAAGATCTATGGATCTGTAGGTGTGGTCAGACAGGGGTGTCCAGTGGGGGAAGGGCAGGGAGTCGGAAAAGTGGGGAGAAAATGGCAGCTCGGTGCTACCATTATCTTGGCATTTCTTTTAATCCTACCCTCCATGGATCCCCCCTGCAGCCAAGACCCTCTGTGGAAGGGGTTTCAAAAGATCTCTAAATAAAAATCTATGGATCCTTTAGATGCCCCCCCAATCTTAGCATAAGGGGAGGCTTGGCACAAAGACGCAACCTGAACCCCAAAATGCATTCAAAGGAAAGGGGTCACCTACGTGTGAAGAAGGAAAAGGGAATTTTACAGAGGTGGGAATCCTTATTTGTCTTTGTGACGGGATGCGCAAGTTCACCGCCCCTCCAGCTGGCTCCCAGAAAATTACACTTAGCATCCCCCGCCTCTGTAAGATGTCATGAGAATTATTGAATAGGTCCGGGGGGGGGGGGGGGGCGCGTTCTTTTCCTTTTTTCCCTCCCCCCCCCCCACAATGGGAAGGCTCTGGCCTTGCAAATCAAGCTGTGCTTGGTTGAGAAGTCCACTCTATGCCTCTCTCCATCATAATCCTGCCACTCTAGTCTTTCCACTTGTCTCCTACCAGACAGCCAACGATGTTTCACTGCAATTGGAGATACCCAACTTTCATTGGGCCTTGGCATTTTGGATGCCTTGCCATTTTTGTTTCCACCCACCCACCCCTCTGACTATCTTCTGCAAACTTAGCCTTGCTCATTTCTCCCATTTGTGCGTGATTGTTGTGACTTTTGACTTCTTTCCACCAATGGGATGTGCAGCCTGAATGTGAGAGAGATTGGTACGAAATGCTGCAGTATCGACAGAGCATGGAAAGTTGATGCAGGATGGGTCAGAATGCAAATGAGTATTTTAATATCTGAAACCCTGTGGCAGCTCGCTGGGTCTCTGACAGATAGGCAGTCCTCTGGAGTCTTCACACTCCCTTGAGATTCCAGCTCTGCTGGAATTCATTTGCAAAAGCATACCGACACCCAGCCACCAGCTGCTCTTCGCCTGGGGTGGCATGTTAAGAGAACGGAATCGGCAAGGAAAATAACAATTCCGCGTTGGCGAGAGACCTTCTTTGGATGCATGGTACGTACTGGGCCAAGTCAAGCTTGACTGGATCTCTGCAGAGTTACGTCTGACTGTGACGGGTTCTGCTTTTCGAGTCTTCAAACCCAACTCAAGTGAAAATCATGGGGGGTTCCTTCCCAACACATCTGGACAGCAGCCTATCGGAAGCCGTTATCCTAAATGTTAGGAGAAAGGATTATTGAATGGAGATTGCATCGGTCTGTGGAGCTGAGAGATATAGCCTGTTGTCCATATCTATGGCCCAGTTTAGAGTTAGCACCAGCAATGGCATTTACCGCTCCATAGTGCTTTACAGCACTCTCTGAGCAGCTTACAGTGTAAGCATTATTTGCACATCACCCCCAACAATCTGGGTCCTCATTTTACTGACCTCAGAAGAATGGAAGGCTGAGTCAACCTTGAGCCGGTCAGGACTGAACTGCTGGCAGTCGGAGAATCAGCCTGCAGTACTGCATTCTAACCACTGCACCACCAGGGGAATAGGAATAGGAACAAGAATAGAACAGGAATGGAATGGAATAGCACTTAGACTTATATACTGCTCCATAGTACTTTACAGCCCGCTCTAAGTGGTTTGTAGAATCAGCATTTTGTTCCCAACAATCTGGCTCCTCATTTTACCAACTTCGGAAAGATGGAAGGCTGAGTCAACCTTGAGCCGGTCAGGATCGAACCGCTGCATTCTAACCACTGCACCATCACAGCTCTTACTACAATATTATTCATTTGACTTAGGTACCTCCTTACGGAAGGGGAGAAAGGAGGAATACAACATGTTTTTTTTTTCCCCTCTGTTGCAACTCTGGACTGCTAGAAGAGAAGGCCGATCATATCAAAATTCTCAGAGTAATGAAAAGGAAAAGAAAAATCAATGTCCAACCTACTTCATCAAAGCCCCTCCTCTTTCCTTTTTTTTTTACACGTGTCACATATAAAAAAGAAGAGGTCTTGATCTCGGAGTTACAGCTGCCACCTTGAATTTTTTTTGACGTTGCTCCTGATTACAATTTGGACCTGCTAAGACAGACTCTCTCGCGCTCTCTTAAACCAAGATCCTGCTCCAGATTTCCCCACTATTTCAAGCCAAAAAGAAAGACCATGACAGATTTATTTTATTGGAAAATAATGTAATTCTTCTGGAAAAATTACAAGGAATGTATCAGCCATTTATACTTGGATGCTGCTGTGAAGCCTTTCTCTGATTAAGAAACACTGACACCCACTTGCAGATCAAAATTGACTTCACCGAGAGTGATGCTCTTAGCCCTAATTAGCTTTGCTCTCTGCCAATACAGTTGTGGCATAGCCAGTTGCGATCAAGGGAAAGCGCATGCTAATTTTAAAAGCAAGGTTCCATTTTTTTCCCCAATATCTCCAAACATTAATCATTAAAGGATGCAGAATAGTTTAACTGTGTGTGTATTTTTTGCATAATTTCTTCAGCCTTTGTGCTTTTCTCATCGCAGTAGCTACACTGGTACATTTTTTTTAAAAAAAGCGGAGACTCACACCACTGTAGCTTAAATGTACCCACAGTTTAAAGTTCACACTTTATATTGGGTGAGTTTCTCTACTAACTTATTGCTATTTATCTCCGTGTTTGTTAAATAGGCTGCCCGTCAAAATATCCCAAGGCGTATACAAAGCTTTGCTGCCTGATAATTTTAAATAATCCAATAAGAAGCTCAAAGGAAAATTAATCTATCCACCAGAAACTAAAATGCTTCCAGCATTAGTTCAACGCACTGTTTCTTCTTGGGGAAGCAATCTTCCTTCAGCAAGATGGGTGACATATAAGTTTGATTAATAAACTATTCCACAAAATCTGGTTAATTATCGCAGCAAATGGATGAACATGGAAACTAAGTAAGGTTGTGTCTCATTAGAACCCAGATGAGAGTATCCAGGTTGATTAGAAGGTCAAAAAAAAAACATGCTAAGAGAAATCTTTAGGACCATTTCTAAGAGAGCCACTGCTCGAGCAGGGGGTTGGACTAGGAGACCTCTAAGGTCCCTTTCCAACTCTATTATTCTATGTTCTAAGCTTCAGCATCCTCTGAATGTTGTTGCTTTTCTCAGCGTGACAAAAACAATCTTGTGACATCAACCGCAAGCCTGGAGGGCGAGTGATTTTGTAACCCGTGTAGAAAAGGGACGGGACTTGGTATTACAATGCCCCAATTGTTCTTTCCCCAACCTGATCCTCCCTTTGTGGACACCCCCTACCCGGAAGTGTCCATGAAATCTCCAGGCGCTGAGTTTGACTTGATCAGAGAGAGTCAAGTCTTTTCATTCGGCGAGGTGAGAAATAACTGCTCTGCCCTTAGGAGGCAATTCCATAGTTGAGGTATCTCCACTGAGAAGGGACCTAGTGGATTCACATCCTGTGGGCCAGAATCAAAATGGCACCACAAACAGGGCTTTTGAGGACATGGCTCAACCCAACGGTTGGTTGGCAGAGGAGAAAACAGAAGGCGTTCCTGACTGTGATTGACGCCCTGCCCTTGTTTTGACAAAATATGCCACATGCCAAAAGGGCTGGGCCCTCCATTACATGGTCACAACAACCATTTTGACTTTTTTTTTTTACTTCCCTTGCCAATGCCCCAAGAGGAAATGCCCTTCCAGAGCCTCTGCGACCATCCTTTTCACAGGTTTTACTGTTGACGCCGATGCTGCCTTCACTTCTCTTGAGTTTTGAAAGCTTATTTCGATAGGTTCGCTCGGCATTTGAAAAGAGCCTCTTCTCAACGGCTTTGACAACAGACCTGCAGGGTGGGAAGAAAAGCTAAATAATGTATAAAGACATTAAAATGATTGCACGGTGAGAAAATTGATTTTCAAAGCTAATATTTGAATGCCGGGTCTTTCCCCCGCTTTATGCCATTGCAATTTCACATGCCTGTTGGAATTGTATTTGCTTGAAATATAATAAATTAAGTGATTTCTAGTTCTTCTTGCCCTCAGCTGCTGCTTTTTGGTAGCAAAACTATATCTACACTTAGTCACGGTGGAGCAGTGGCTAGAGTGCAGTACTGCAGGCTACTTCTGCTGACTGCCGGCTGCCTGCAATTTGGCAGTTTGAATCTGAACAGGCTCAAGGTTGACTCAGCCTCTCATCTTTCTGAGATTAGTAAAAATAAGGACCCAGATTGTTGGGCCATATTTGTAAATTGCTTAGAGAGGGCTGTAAAGCACCGTGAAGCAGTATATAAGTCTAAGTGCTATTGCTACATAACAGGAATCTTCTCAAGTCAGCTGTGGTTCACCCAGACCATCTACCCAATGAGTTAAGAGTGTACCCCCAATCCAAATAAATTAGCATCACATAAAGGGATTCTGAGAAGTACCATCCACTCCATCCGTCCGGAGGGGGAAAGAAACATTGTTCCTGATCTTCAGAAATCTCTCGTTTCATTTTTCTTCTTCCTTTCTTTCTTTTTCAGGCAACCAATAAGGATGCAACTAAGATCAGCGTAAGTACCTATCAAAATGCATGCATGGGGGGGGCATCTGCATGGGGTTGTCTGTCTAAAATATTGCAGTGGTTCCTTGAGGTTGAGTTGCTCCCTGCCCTGAAAATGGACAAAGAGGCGCCCAAAGGCAGCAGAAGTTAATTTAAGACGTTTGGAAACGAAGGCCTTTCTATCCATTCGTTGCACGCTCATTATCAATTAACAGGGAGGCCGTTATAATCAGCTAATTGCACTGCTAATAGAGCAGAGTCTGTCTTTGGCATAAGGATAGGTGTGGTGATGGGATCGAAACATTTTTACTACCGGTTCTGTGGGTGTGGCTTGGCTTGGTGGGTGTGGCAGGGGAAGGATACTGCAATATCTCCAACCTGCTTTCCAGCTCGGTTCTCCTGTGCAGGGCAACCAAAGGAGACCCAGCCGATCAGCTGGGACTCAATGGGAGGCAGAGAAGAGATGGGGTTGGCGGGGCCAGTCAGAGGTGGTGTTTGCCAGTTCTCTGAACTACTCAAGGCACTACTGCTGAGGAGCAGATTATTTATACATTTAGAAGGATAAAATACTCTCTCCTTTCTAAGCTTGTACCACTTCCGAGATGTAGATGGGAATTCTACGTATTTGGATGAAAATGGTTGGGTTTTGTTTCAATGGGAAAAAAATATCTCCCCATTAATGGAGAAAAGAGGCCACATTAACAGGAAACGGCCCCATTGTTTTTACTAAGATCCAAAGGCATCCTTTTCATCAGAGTTTGCTAAAGTTTCATCTTAAAGCGTAAAGTCTGAAGCGGATAATTGGAGAAATGATAGGATAGATACAGAACACCATAGAGCTAAGGTTTAGCCTATTTCCCCAAAATACAATGATCTGTGCTGTTTGGAGGGGATAAGTTTAATGGATAATCTTAATACCT